ATTTCAAACCCTCAGAACTATCAATCTTTCACGTTGAGATCTAAGGCAACTTCGAGTTTGGCTAGGTGTATTCGAGTCTCGCGAATGAAGAATGGTGTGTGTTTAGGAAAATGTTTGGAAAATCAAGAGGGAAAAAAAGAATAAACTTTAGCTTGGAGAGAGAAAGAGAAGATGATTAGTGGTGAATGAAAACGAGGAAATCGTCTATATTTATAGGAAAAACGACCGAAAAGATCATAAAAGAGTCAAAATTCGAATCACGAAGCGATACAAAACAATTTTTTTATGCCTTTTGTTTTTATCATAATTTTTTATCCAAAAATCGAAATAAGATAAATAATATGTCGTTGGAAAGCTCTTGAAGTCTTATTTCCAACCCATTTGAATTAGATTAAAATATTTTATAGAATAAAAGATATGACCAAAATGGTGGGACGGTGTCAATTTTGGATAGAGTTTAATATTTCATTAATATCTTTTTCGTTTCGAATCGGAATTGCAAATATAATAAATCATTGGAAAGCTAATATCAAGGGCTATCCAACCATTTAAGATTTTGATAAAAATAGGAGACACGAAAATAACATCTGAACTTCTTTGAACATATTTTAATTCGAATAAAATTAGACTTTCAAAAAGAAAAGTTTTATTCAATTTCAAACTCTTAATCTTTAGCTTTAGAAAAGGATAGCTTGGAACTCTCTAGAGGCTTCTAGAAGCTTGTAATGAATACTAAAAGTTTAAGAAATATAACTAAGATTAATGGACCCTCCATATGATCATTGGGTCCGCATATAAGGCTCGGCTTGGGCCTAGTTTAGTATTTTGGCCATAACTTCCTCGTTATAGCTCAGATTTGGGCTTATAATATATCGTTGGAAAGCTCTTTTCAACCCCATCGAACTACACAATTATTAGACCTTGATTATGGACCAAAATAAACTAGTTTGAACTTTTTTATAAAAAGAACATGAAATGAATGATTTTAAGGACACGAAATGAATTATTTTGGATTTAAGGTACAGAATGAATGATTTTAGTCTAAAACATTTAAGGAAAGGTTAAAAAAGGGGAAATTCACGATATTCATCAAATCTTCATCCAACTTGATAATCAAAGACGTGAAATGTAGTCATCACCGGGTATGGTTTTTGAGGAGACACAATCAGGTGTCTACAATAATATTATGCGAGTTATTGATTAATGCACATTAAAACTACCAATGTAATGATCACTTGAGATAATTTATTTGAAGAGAACCTAACTCAATTTGTATAAAATTATCTTATTTTAATGTAAATGCATAAAAATTCCGGTCTTTGTAGCAAAAAATAAAGGTAATAGAATATATACAATAAATAAAAAATAAAAATGTTCTATATATATACATTATAACCTACGTTTGATTTAGGCTCAAATAGTTTAACCTTAGCAGCTAAATTTTAGTAGTTTTAGACATAAGTGTATATATTGCTCAAAAGTCAAGCACAACACAAAAAATGGAACTGTTTTGGTGACAGGGTAAAGTCGTATCCCCTAATAAAAAATAAATACCTAAGTCCTCTAATTAAAGTAGATAGGGAAGTAGGGTCGAACTCCACAGGGAAACAAGTCTTTTTACTCCTAATTTATTATTATAATCTAAATTATCTAAGTAACCAATATTTTTGGGAATAAAGTCTATACTACGAAGAATAAGTTTAAGGAGAAAAACAATAATAAGAAGGCCTAGGGTACAGGTTCACCAATAATTAATATTCCGGGATAAAACATAATAACTAATAATCAACATTGCACAAATAACATGATCAACAGGCTCTTGCAATTTATTAATCAACATAGATCTAACAGGCTCTCGCAATTTACTAGATCTAAGTTCCTATTAAAAATAGCCTTTAATATTAAATTAACATCTGCTCGATTCATCAATTCAATATTTCTTAACATTCACAATCAAATTACATCTGCTCGATTCATAATCTAATTGCAAAGAATTAAAACAATTCAATAAGAAATTATCATGCAATACCAATAATCAATAATAACAAATTATCCCTTCATATTAATTATGGATCCCCATAAACCCTAGAATTAAACTATTCAGACATAATCATAGCTAAACTAATCAAATAAATAAAACAAAACATAATCAAAGAAGTAATTGAAATAGCTGAAATTAAAGGAGAAGAAATTGTTACCAAAGGAAATCTGAATTAATGGAAGTAATTAAGAACAAAAGTTGAGAGAGAATTTAAGAGAGAGAAATATCCTAAGTAGAGAGAGAAAATCTAAAAAAGAAGGTAAACCAAAATTACGTAAATAATTCGTACTTTAACATTCCTTAAAACAAAAATTAAAACTAAACTAATTAGGTCTGAGAAAAACACGCTCCCGATCGGGCTAGAGGCCGCCCGATCGGGCGCTCCTTTTTCCTTGCGCTTCTTCTCAGCAGCGTCGCCCGATCGTGCTAGATGCTCGCACGATTGGGCGCGCCTTAGTCCACGCACCAGCACCAAATGCATGCCGCACCCGATCGTGCTAGCTTGCCCAATCGGGCCCTCGCTTCTCTTCGAGGCTTGGACTTCGATTGGGCTTGATTCCTCGGTCCAATCCGGATTTCCTCTTCGGGTCTTGAATACTCGGTCCAAATACCTCGGTATCCCGATTACCGAGCCCTTAATCACCGGCTCGATGACTCTAACCGGTCTTGGGCTTCAAAGATGGTCGTGCTCTTCTAATTTCCGTAGTCGCTCCATGAAAAACCCGAGAAAATGCTCCAAAGATGCAATTTCCTACAAAACTCAACAAAGACTACGAAAACACTAGAAAACACCAATTAGCAATAAAAGTGGCTCGAAATAGCCAAAAACACTATTAATTAAGACCAAGGGACGGGGGTAAATTACTATATAAAATGGACATATCATTTGGGTATAATTGTAAACTTGAATATTGATCATCTTTATACTTCTAAATTCTATTATTCGCTTCGATTTTGCTTTACGTGCCCTAATTTTACATTTTACAATGTTACACCGCTTTAACAAAAATTGATACTTTTATACATAAGACTAAACATAGTTATGTAAGTACTTATCAGAATTGTTTCAATGTACAAGATTCACATATCAACTTTTATATAATCTATATTGATGGATAATGAAAGATATGCAATGAAATACATGGGGCCTTAGATTAAAATGTAGGGATCGGAAGAAGGTCACTACGACACCCACAATGTCACACACAGATAGTCAATCAAAATTTCAATCCAATCAACCCAAAATTCTTACACTCTAATATTACACAACCAAATTAGCAACAAATGCAGTAGAAGAACAATAATAACATTGACAATACTAGGAAGAAACAATATCAAGCAACACACAAGAATTATACGTGAAAAAGCCCTTCGACAAGAAGGATAAAAATCACAAGAATGTTTAAGGAGTCCACTCTAACTTCTCTTATTGATAAATTGAGGGAAAAAGAATTCCAAATTAGTTTATAAAAGAATTCACAACCCACCACCAACACCAACAATAAGAGATCAAAATTAGAGAGTGAAAGGAGTACAATTTACCCAAATCACAACAGTTTTGTCTAGAGACAATTTTGAACAAATTAGAGCTCAAAAGACGATCCAATTGTCCGAAATAGGCTCTTGATGTTAGAATTAAGTTGTTAAATTTGAGCACGATTTAACGGATGAATTTTCGGAAAAAAGCGACTAAAAGTTGTGTTGGAAAAAAAACTGAAATGGAAGCACTTTTGAAACCCTCGCTTAGCTCTCTATTTTGTGCGTGTGTTTTATCTCACAATTGCTCAGTATTCTCTCGCAAGATAATTTCATAAGACTTCTCTTAGAAGCCACAAAACTCATGTCAAATATGGAACCAAAAATAAGACTTAACAAGTCTATAAAAAGACTTAGGCCCTGTTTGGGAGAAAGCTGAAAGCTGAATCTGATTGAGTTAGCTGATTTTGACTAGCTGATTTTATTAACTGATTTGACTAACTTATTGTATTAAATGGTTATATAAAAGTGTTTGGTAAATAGATGATAGCTTAAAGGTGATTGAGTATGTGAAATGACATTGTGGGGTAGGTAGTTTAGATAGGATTTTAAATTAAATGAGGTTATAAGTGTCATTTCACAATAGTTAATGAATAAGCTAATTGAAAAGGCTCCTAAAATGAGCTTTTTCAAAAAGAGCTTATTTAGTGGAATAAGCTCTTTCAATAAGCTTTCTACCAAACACTTATATTAGCTTGTTTGACTAGTCAATCAGCTAAAGTTAGTCAAATAAGCTAATATACCTCCAATAAGCTTACTACCAAACAAGGCCTTAGCAAATTGGGCTGAAATCATAACAAAAACACCAACAAAGTAAATAGTGAATTTGAACCCATTTAGTTCAAGCTAAGAGCAAGTTTAGCCCAAGTCTTAAGACTTGGATATGACATCATTTTTGGTGGTCCCCATTGAAAATGATGTCATCAAATTCTTGTTAAGACTCACTAAGACTTACACAAATTTATCACTTTAGCCCTAAGACTTTAAACATTTGACATATTATATGTAGAAAAGTGTAAAAAAAAAAAAAGAGATAATAAAAATAAAATTGAGGTGGGTGAAGTGGGTCCCAATCTCCTTAAGTTGAGTCTTGAAATTTCAAGACTCAACTTGAGACTTGCTTGAGATTTTTGAAGAAAAATGGGAAAAGTCTTAAGCATAAGTTTTAAGATTCAAAATGATGATGTCACCCTAAGTCTTAAGACTTGGGGCTAAACTTGCTCTAAGGCCTAAGGAGCATGCCCGTTGTAGTCCACGTTAACCTTAGCCTCGACGCACTCCACACCTTCATGGCTCATGCCTGGCTGCGTCTGGCTCGCGCTTAGCCGAGCCATAACTGGTTCATAGCCCAATAGGTATAGACGTATAGTAGTATATTTCAATCAAGGCCCAACAAAAGGGTCTTAATTTTAATGTTACACAATTTGACAAGAATACATCAATTAGTGTCACAGCCAATTTCTGCCAAACTCTGGAATAAACTACACATTCTCCTTCACTATCCCCAAATTCACGCTCTGCCGCCGACTTCAGCGAGACAAGCAGAGCTTTGCCGTGCGAAGAAGATGGAGGACATGAAGAAGAGAAAGCTTGATGATGTTGAAAATGGTCAAATTTCTCCTGCTTCTGGTGAAAAGCTTCGTTCTTTGCTTGAACCGCTTGCTAAACCCCAGTTGGTTGATCTCCTTGCTAAGTTGTAAGACTCTTTTTACTTAATTTTTATAATTTCTTTTTGTTATGAGATACTGATTTATGCTATTAATTTTATTCAATTTAATGGGTTTTGTTTGGTGTTATTTCTTGTTTCATTGAATATATATTGTATAGGTTCAAGCTGTTGTTATTGGATTTTCGCCCATTGATTTAGATGGAATTTGATTTCGCGGCTTGGGTAATATAATCCCGAAGCCTCTACCAATTAAGCTAGTTGACATTCGTAACGTGACACCCAAACTTAATTGTACAGTTTTATAGGTTTTTTTTTTTTTTTTTTTTTTTTTTTTTGTTGGGGGGGGGGGGGTTGTGAAAAGATTGAATGTTAAGGGGCACACTGCCACACTGTAATATGTTGATAAATATAAGCTTTAAAATAGTTAGGGTTTCAGTGCTTCATGGTTCAACCAGTAGTATATCTTTAAAGTTGGTCTGGGGCTTATTATGTGTATATCATATGTTGGTTTAATCAGTGTCGTAAAATGGTGAATTTGGGTCTATAACTAACGAGCGTTGTAATGTTGGGGTGTTATGTAACACTTTAAGCTCTCTTCTTGATCATGTCTAAGCTTTTTAAGTACAAGCACGATTTTTCGAAGTCAGTTATCTATAATGGGATAGTAGGTTAGCTGTCAAGAGCCAAATATAAAAATATGTCATTCTTTTTTGTTAGGATTTGGTTCCTTTTGTTCTCAATTGTCTTTCCGATCTTCCCAATCTTCAGAAATCTGAAATATGCTTGCTTTAAAGTGTAATTAAGATTTCGTTGCTAGCAATACCGTTGTTGATTGTGTATTTAAGATCACATGCAAGAAAAAATTAGTAATATTATGATTATAGATGAGGCAGTGAGCAAAAGTTGGCTAAGATGTTATGTTAAATGAAATGAGCATCACAAGAAGTGGTATGAAGCCATGCAACAAGAGATAAGGACCCATGCGTGATAATTATGCTTGTGGAGTAGATTAAGACAAGAAATTTCTTGATAGTAGGTTGTTGAGAAGTTAATATGGTCTCAAGACATGGATTAAAATGTATGCATCTTATAGAGTGAATTGTGGTTGGAAGTCTTGAAGAATTTATGTGCATGTAGATTAGCATTCAAAGGGATAATTCTTAACCTAGTATTTGTCACTTTTGGTATTTGTCACTTTTGGCAAAGAAGCCTCCAATTTGAGTTATTTGTCACTTTTGGTATTTGTCACTTTTGGCAAAGAAGCCTCCAATTTGAGTTATTTGTCACTTTTGGTCAAGAAGTCTTAGAGAGTGCATTGACTTTTAAGGTATTTGCCACTTATGGTGAAGAAGCCTTCGATTTGTGTTATCATTGAATTAGTTGATACGTTGAATTTTCATTTTCATTAGGTTGGCATGAAGGTTACATAGTTTGGGGTGACCTTGAATATTAAATCTATGTGGAGTAGATTAAGGAACTTTAGATAAAAGACAAGAAATTTCTTTTTGGTAGGTTGTCGAGAAGTTAAGATGATCTCAAGGCATATGAATTTTGGTTACATCTTACTAGTAATAAGATATTTGCATCTTATAACGTCAACTGTGGTTATATATAGTAAAATATTGATCATTTAAATTCACTTAGATATATAGCAATGAATACTTCATTATTAATTTGCTAAATTTGGATTGTTTCATGGTTCAAACACATGGTTTAGGTCGCAACCCCAGGAACGGTCATGGTGTCGCGAAAAACGGAAATGATGTGCTGATCGTGTCATTGTTGTTGTGGTGCGAAGTTACTTGCAAAGTATTCTAGGAATTAATAATACCTGTAAGCTATTATAATAGCTAGTGTAGACTAGTAGAGGCTGAAAGCCATTTTTGGGGATACATGGGGAATCTCGCAAGTAACTTTTTAGTGAAACACGGATGTTACATTCAATGCAAGGTGATATGGGGTTGCAACATGTGATTCAAACAAGATTGTGGATTTTTGAAAAACACTGCACTTAACTAAATGATTTTCCTTTACGATATGGCCCAACACCTAAGTGACGAGGTTGTATCTTTGCGCTATGGATGATATTTCTGTTGGTCATCATACTTGAAGATAGATAATCTAAAGACAACAATGGAAACTTTTGCGCAATTAGAGATTTTACCTGAATAATGAAGATATTATTGATGGATGTATATTGAGATAGAGAGGGCATAGTGCAATGGCTCTCATAAAACACATAAATCTGCTTTAGATTCGATGTGGTTGAAAATGTTAAATAATTTTCCTTTTGTAAGCCATTACAGCTTAAATTCCCATTCTCTCTATAGTAATAGCGAGAGACAAAATTTGGATGAAGCAATTTTTGCTTGCATCAACTATCTACAACATTATGTGTGCTTATATACCAGCCACCAGGCTTGATACTGCCTATGTAGTTTGAGCTATTTGTCAGTTTACTAGATTTCTTCAAATCCTGGTAGAGATACTAAGGAGTAGTATAGAAACAATTGACGTGCTTTGATCTATGCAAGTGTATGTAGAGAACTCTCAATCATGGCTGATGATTTTGATTCGCAAAGTTTATTGATTTATATGATTACGTTTGTTGGGCGGGCTCAGCCATGGAAGTTAAAACTCAAGAGTCTGGCTCCTCAATGGAGACTTTAAGAGGAAAACTGGCTTGATCTTTCTTTTTTGTGAGCTTTGATAAACACAAAAAATATACGTAGTATATATTTTCTCTTTTTAGAATGGATATTCATTATGAAGCGTAGTTTCTCCCTAACAATCTGACATAGGTTTTCATTTCTGGAATTAATTAGTTTTATTTGATACTTATTATGGAATGTGATCAAATAATGCAAAGACATATGAAGGATTTTCAAGTTTGCATGCCTCGAATGTTCAATCCCTTATATAGGTGCTTTTATGAGGTTGTTTAGGCTTTTAACATATTAAAGGTGGGCATGCATATAATTTTTTTAGAGAATAGGTGGATGATTGATATCTTGAACTAACAGTTTTTGGCCCCAGGTCATTGTTTGTATATAAAAAAATTATCACAAAATAAAGTGAAATATAGTGGTAGTTTTATAAGATAAATATCATTTGTTAAATATTTTTAAAATAATTGAACATCAAAATTCATTATTTAATATGCATCAACCTAAATGTTATAATGTTTCAGTTTTTTTTTTTTTTTTTTTTTTTTTTTTTTTTTGTGTGTTAAAGAGATTTTTTTTTATTATTCAGCTATCATAATATATACCTTCGAGTAAACATATTTTGTTTTTAAAAAGAAAAAACCTGTAAAATTGCTTTGCATTTTTGGGTTATATATTTTAATCAACTATAACCTATATGAATTATGGTTGAGTAACCGAAAGAAATGAAATTAATTTATAATCACACTGTTGTTAAAATAAACAAATATAAGTTCGCAATTAAAATTCTAAAATTTATGAACATGAATAACTCTTTTTGATACAATTTTATCATCATAAGATGTCATTGTAGTGATGGTTAGTTAAAGTTTAATTTTAATGAATACGAGGTTATGGGTTCAAATAATAATGCTAATAAATTATAAATTTGTATGAGAAAACATTGATTTATGAATAGTAATAGTAGGTGATATCCGCGTGGCGAGATCGGCGATAAATGGCAAGATTACAATCCTTGCCATTGAGTTTTAATATACTGTATATATTGATTTGTTGTATTGAGTTACTGCTTGAGAATTGACTCAATTTATGTCATTGCCTATCTTATTTCCTAGATCCATTTACTGCTCCCCCCCCCCTCTTTTTTTAAATTTATTTTCTAGCATGGATCAAGGAGTTTTTTTTTGGTACACATTGCACTAGTATCAGCCTATAGGTTCCTTGTTCAATTCATTCTCTTAATGCATATCATTTTATAAATTGTGAATCTATGTCAATAAGTCTGATCAAGCAAATCCAAAATTAATTTGTCTGTGCCGGTGATGGTAGAACATCTACGCTTATAGTTGTGTGTAATAAATTGACTTTGTGCATGTGTGTTTGCCTGCATGTGTGGCGTGAAGAGGGTCCAAATATTCTCCAGTTGCAGGAGAAATTATGAGTCTTGCAAGTGCTGATCCTGTTCACAGAAAGCTATTTGTTCGTGGCTTGGCATGGAATACTACATCAGAAACCTTGTGTGATGTGAGTGCGTTGTATGATTGCTGATCAGTTTTGCGTGTCATGATGGGTGATAGTTACATGTTTGGGTGAATTGAAACATTTGAATTAATGCTTTTAGGTACCACTTCCCTTTGATTTAGTTCTGTTGCTTGTAAAGCTCAAAATTCTCCTTTTCAGGCATTTGCAGTTCATGGAGATATTGAGGAAGGAGCTGTGATCACTGACAAAGCAACCGGCAAATCTCGCGGTTATGGCTTTATTACTTACAAAAATATGGAGTCAGCTCAGGATGCTCTAAAGGCATCTAGCAAATTAATTGATGTGAGTACAACTGCTACAACTCAGATTCTGTTTTTGGTTTTTTTTTTTGTTGTTAATTAATGAAACTAATGCACTATTTAGGAAAATAAGACCGAACGCAAGATTAATTGGGTAGGCTTGCACTGTATATCTAATCACTGAAATTAATCAATACAAGCTAATATCATCGCACTTCGAGGGTGTGATTCCTGTGTTTCCACTCAGTACTTTATCCAATATACTCCTTTATTATTACAAGCCTTCCCCTATTTATACTCCTACTCCTTGCCACAATGCCACTTACTCTTCAACATAAGTTCATAACAGAATCCCTTTAATTTGCAGTAACCACCTAACAACTAATTCAACAACTTGACACTTGTGGTTAGTTCTTGATTGTTGCTGGCTTCTTCCTCGAGAATGTGTGAATAATAGGGGGTCTATTATAAATTCTTGCAACAACCTTAAACGATTACTTTCTTGGCTGATAATGTGTTTTGTGTTGTTGGAGTTCTGGTAATATTCTTTTGATGATATGTGTTGGAATACATTTTCTTAGCTTCTTTTATATAAACATCTACTGGAACTTTGAAAGACCCACCTTCAGGAAATTGTTTCAAGTTCTGAGATATAACATTTACTTTCTCTGTTCCATTTTGTATAGCAATATATGTTTTTTGGTGGCCAAACTTTACAGACTCTGATTGTATATTTTTACAAATGTAATACTTTTTATAATTCATGTGAGAGTTTTTTAGATTTATTTTAATGCCTATTTTCTAATATCAATTATTTTATATGTAATTTTAAATTATACATAAGTCAAGTATTTATGGCCAAAGTTCGCATAGGAGCCTGCAAAAAATATTTTTGGCTTTTGATTAAGAATGGAAGAAATTTTATGTATCATGTATTGAGGATTTCCCTTATCATTTTCGAAGCTGGGTTGCTTCTGCCATAGGTCCTGCTCTTAAAGTTTACTTGACCATATTAATTAAAAAAATAAAAAATTGTATTAAGAGACTACATAACTTAATATCTTGCCCCGGTTGTATTTTCCACTGGCATGTAAAGATTATCAAAATTACCCCAAGGGCCTCAAGGATTCATTCATTTGGTTGGGAGTTGGTTACTTTGTTTAAAACACAAGACTTGTTGAAAAAGTCCAATTTTGCTGATTTCTTAAAAGTTGTGTCTAGTGGAGACTGGAGATGATATATATTTGTATGTTTTCAGTCTTTCATTTGCTCTCCTGCTTGTCATTACTTCAGGGCCGCTTGACTGTCTGCAACCTTGCTTGTGAAGGCTTAAGTAGTGCTAGCACCGCACCTGATCAAGCACAGCGGAAACTTTATATAGGAGGTTTGTCACCAGAAACCACTACTGAGATGTTGCTCAGTTTTTTCAGCAGGCATGGTGAGATAGATGAAGGTTCAGTTGCGTATGACAAAGATACAAACAAGTCTCGGTATTCTTCATTTAAATTTTTTGTTCTTAGTTACTTTTGTGCAGGCTTCAGTTTCTTATGTCTCTGATCATTTTTTTTTCTTTTGCAGTGGTTTTGGGTTTGTGACATACAAGACAGTCGATTCTGCGAAGAAGGCCCTTGATGACCCTGAGAGAACTCTAGGGGTAATTGATATCTGAAAGTTTCACGTCTTTCTATGTTTGCTTCTATGCTCTAAAATCTAAATGCGCGATCTTCTAGTGAGAGGTGTTATTAGCTGAAACCACAGGGCTGTAGTAGCATTATTGCATAAGCATTTCACTTATTTTTCTAAGCTGAAGGCTTTACTACATTATTCTGGACTTGCCCTTTGAACACCTTCTCGTTCGTGGATATAAGATAATGTCAAATTAGATTTTCTTCGCTTTTAGCTCAGCAGCCTCAACAGTCACCAAGCCTTTCTCTTTCTGTTTGTTCCCTTAAATTTGTGCAACCATGTTTTTAATTTAGTAATATTGCATGAAGCCTGAACTTACAGGAATAGAAATTTGTACTTCTTTGTTGTTGAATTGCTCACTGGAAAGAAAGGATGTAGGAGTTAGGTTGCAATCTTGCATATGTCTCACCGGACTATGTCAAGAAAAGTGGCACCTTACTATCATCACTGCAGTACAAAATTACTTTTCCTTCTCTTTGGGTTCTGTTTCCTACAGAAGCTTTTGTTTGTGTTGATTTCTTTCGGTATATGAAATTTTTAACCCCTTTATCTCCATCTTTTTTCAACTGACAAGTCACAAGTGTTGTGTATAGTTATTACTTATTAGCACTTTAGAGAGAATCAGTGGCAATCAACTATAATTGCTTTTGGCAAAAACTAGTATAATGAGACCTAAGGGGGCTTTATCTGTTTCTCGGTGCTACATGACTTGTTACAATAAGTTATTGTGAGACTGTCTTGCCCAAGAATTACTCATTACTTGTTGAGAACTCCATCGTCATTAATTACCTTTGTTAATTAGAATTTTATTGCAGTAATAGGTGACTTTAGTTGATATGTATTTGACTTGAGCAGCATCAAACCCTATTGTGCTTCATTCAATGTTGAATTCTTTCTTGCTAGAAATCAATATGATATTCTGTGCTATATGCAGGGCCGGAACATAACAGTGAAGTATGCTGATACAAAGAACAAAACAACTGCAAACCAATATCCCTCATCAGCAGCTCCTATGGTCCCTCCTACAGCAGGTGGATACCCACAGCATGGGAAACCACAGGCACCACTTGGATACAGTTACCCTCCACACATGCCATCATACCCACCCGTCTCTTACGCTAGTCCTCCAGCAGCAGCTGCACCTCCACCTGCAATGGCACCAGGGCCATATCCTCAAGGACCACCACCATCCCAGATTTCTTATGCACCACCACCCATGAAAGACACATATGGAATGCCACCTTCTATGCCCGTTGGCATGCAGGGCTACCCATATTACATGGGGAAACAATGATCAAATACAGCTGCAGTGTGGTATTCAAGCTTTGAACATCTCCGTGCTTTCTCTACAGTCTGGTATATGCTTGAGCCAATACAGCTGCAGTGTGGTATTCAAGCTTTGAACATCCCCGTGCTTTCTCTACAGTCTTGGTATATGCTTGAGCCGAATTGAGGATTTCTGCATCTATCATCTGCTCTTCTCAACTTCTTCAGTATGTTCGCTTCTGTATCTGTAGGCAGTAAGTTATAATTTTGATTCAATCAAAGTATAAATGTCTTTTGCTAATTGAAGCATCGGTAATAATTGCGATTTAGAGAATATAGTGGGGAGTTTTGAGGGCTTTCCTTATAGGTTAGAATCCTAGATTATACTGTATCTTGTACTATTATTAGTTAGACGTCTAGGGGAAGAGTTAAATTTTTTTTTTTTTTTAATATTTAATTTTGCAATCTAGCATAGTGTTGAAGATGCTCCATGTTTCTGAATTTGTGGTCCAACAGTTGAGTGTAATAGTGAAAGCATTATAAAAGGGGCATTTTCTTTTATTTTTTTCTTAATTAGAACAGACTATATATTGCATTTTTTTTTTTTTTTTTTTTGATTAATTAAAGGGACAGATTCTTACCTCTGAGACTCTGATAAATTGTTGTGGGATTGTGGCAGAACATAGGTGCAATGGTGCTAAGGATGCAAATAGCAGATAGGGATTGGTCAGATAATGGCAATAGTAATTACAAACAAACAATCTACTACCTCCGTTGAATGTTTTCTGCAACTTTGGGAGGGTTTGCGGTACACGATGCAAAATTTGATAATGATGATTAATGTATATTAGGGGTATGTAATTAAGGTGGAGAGAGAATATTTGGATATTTAATCAACCACTCACTACCACCCCAAGACCACCACTGCCACCACCAAGACCAGCCAACAGTCCAACACCACCACCGCCTTCAACGCCGGCTTCACCACCACTACTACCTCCCCACGATACCACCACGAAACCCCCACCATTTCAGGTCCGGCGAACACCACCACCACCACCATTTTCACGAAACCCCATAAACCACCACCAGCCCCACAAAACCACCAGCCCCACGAAACCACCACGAAACACCCACAAAACCACTACCAACCCATAGATTCGACGAAAACCACAACCACCATTCTCACAAAACCCCCCACGAAAACCCCCACAAAACCACGAAAACCCCACGAAATTCCCACAAACCCCCCCCCCCCAAAAAAACCACCATCAGCCCCACAAAACCACCACCACCATTCTTATGAAAGCCCCCATAGATTCAACGGAAACCCACTACAAAATCATCACCAACAATTCAACAAACCCATCACTAATTCAATTTCTTAAAAGTTGAAGAGAGAAAGAAAAAGAGAGATAATGATATGGAAAGAGGAGAGAGAGGGGAAGATGAAGATGAAGATGAAGGTGGTTTTGGGGTTCTTGAGTTGAAGATGAAGAGTTAATAAATTAGATTGGGTTGGTTGGGGTAAAAATTGGGTGAGAAATTAGTGATTAATTAAATCTGATTATAGTTAGTAAATTGTGTTTTAATTTTTTAAATGAGGGTAAAATCGACATTTGACTAGTATTTTTTTACTAAAAGATGAAAGAATTTTTTTTTGTTGCACATAATGTTTAGCGGACTAAAATAGTAAAAGTTGCAGAAAACATTTAACAGAGGTAGTATTTATCATCAAATCATTGAACCAAAGCATATGTTACATTATTACAGATTATATTAAAGGTTAAACTAATGACACTTTGACACTTAATCATGTTAGAAATAAACTCCTGATATCATAAAACAAAGACACACAATTTATGAACATCATGCAAATGGAGATTATGTGGGTATAACTGAATTTGGATGAAGAATAATTGTAGGTGCAGTAAAGGTTAGAATCAAACAGATTTAAGATAAGAGAATTGTTAATAGAAAGAAACTATATGAGTGTAAGATTAGAAGTGAGGAAGAAGGCCAAAATGTGTTGGAGAGACACCATGTGTCCAAATGTGTCCAAAAGAGAATAGGTGTTTGAACAACCAACTTCCAAATGTAAATGGAGGAAGAACTCTCAATAATAAATAACACAGGTAACCCTAATTTCACCAAAAAGGGAAAATTTGTTGGAAAATTCATCTGACTGAGTGACAGGGTAAAGTCGTATCCCCAAATCAAAAGTAATTCCTAAATCCTCTAACTAATGTAGATAGGGAAGTAGGGTCGAATCCACAGAGAAACGAGTCTTTCTATTCCTAATTAACTAATGTAATCTAAATTATAAAGTAACCAATATGTAAATTTGAATATGAAACTAAACTACGAAGATTAAGAGTAGGGAGAAAACAATGAATAAAAGGATCTAGGGCATAGGTTCACCAATAAATAATATTTCAGGGTAGAATATAATAATCATTCATCAATGCATACATCAATCAGATCATAAAGGGCTTTCGCTACGTATTACAATCACACAATTAATTTACCGGCATTAAATCTCATATTTCGAATCTCGACTTAGCCATTTATAAATTAACATGCCTATTGAAACTAGACCTAAACATCAATTCTCATCTGTCGAATCTCGAATCAATATTGTCAAACTCATGCATAAAAGATCAGGACTAATCTAATCACAGAGCATTAAATCAATCAATAGGAAATTAATCTAGCATTGACAATCAACAACAATAAATTACCCCTTCATATTATTTATGGATCCCCACAAACCCTAGAAATAAAACTACTCACACATAATAGAAACTAAACTAATCAAAGCAATAAAACAAGACATGATCAAAAGAATAAAGTAACAACTAAGATTAAGAGAAGAGAAATAGTTACCAAAATAAATCTGGAATTAAGAATAGATTAAGAACAAAAGTATAAGAGAAAGAATTAATCTAAAAGCTAAGTAGAGAGAGAAAATCTAAGAAGTAATTAAAAGAGAGTAAAAGAAGAGAGTAAGAAGATTCTAAAATCGTTTTACGGAGAAGTATTTATACTCCGTACGAATCCTAAACTAAAACAAACTTAAACGACGAAATTAACCCCTAATAATTACACGCGCCCGATCGGGCGCGCCTTTTTGCTCGTCAGTACGCTTCTCGCGCCCGGCCAGGCGCGTCACCGGGCGCCGACCTTTGCTTCTCTCGCCCGGCCCCGGCCGGGCGCGCCTCCGGGCGCCAGCCTTTTTGGCCGGGCGGCTCTCTTGGGCCACTATCTAGACTACGATTGGGCTCCAATTATTCGGGCCAATCTGGGTTTCCTCTTTGGGTCTTGAATACTCGGTCCAAACGCCCCGGTATCACATATATCGAGCCCTTAATCACCGGTTCGATGGCTCTAACTGGCCCTGGGCTATAAAAACTGGTCGTGCTTCTCCAGTGATCGTGATTGCTCCATAATATCTCGGGAAAATGCTCCAAAAGTGCAAATCCCTGCAAAAGTCAACCAAATCTACGAAAACACTAGAAAACACCAATTAGTAATAAAAGTGGCTTTAAAGAGCCAAAAACACTACTAATTATGACCAGGGGACGGGGGTAAAATACTATATAAAATAGACACATCAAACTCCCCCAAGCCAAACCTTTTCTTGTCCCTAAGCAAAGATCTCATCAATGAATCAATAAATATGCTTCACCCCAAAAAGTAAAAATCAAGCACAAACAATTCAGGGTAAATCAAATAAACATGCTTCAAAACCAACCAATCAAATCCATCCAATTACCTTTCTTCCCTAACAATTGTCAAATAGAGCAAACCACAAGAGCATATAGAATTCAAGACTAGTGCTCACACACTCAACTCTAATTTATGTGGCGAGTAAAAGATGTACTCGATCGCTCTCCAACCAACCCCTTTATGTGAACAATGCCCTCCCAACTCACACTCTCGTGTGTATAAAACAATGAACGCTCAACCTACTAGTCGACTCGAAATACGTCAAATCATAACTTGCATTGATAAACAACACTTTCACATTCATACAACTCTATGCACAAAGGTCGGAAGGTCTTTAAAGCTTGTAATATAAGGCTAGGGTAAAGTGTAGGAATCATTTGGGAATAAGTGAGAGAAAAGCTATGCTTAAGGGAGCAAATTCTAGTAAAACCCGTGATCAAAATAAATAATGATCAACATCTCCTACATAACCAACTCTAACAAAAATCCACCAAATATACTCCAATTATAATAAACAATCCCAACACTTACAATTTCACTCATAAGATATAATAATAAAGAACTGGAGTGAATAAACAAACTTTATTTTCCAAACTTGAATTTTTCATTGAAGCTCAACTTTTTTCTTTTGATCAACCTCCAACTAGAACATTTGTACATTGAACATTTTTTTCTCTTTGTTCTTTTTTTTTTTATTTTGAAGTTCACTTTTTTTTTTCATAACATCATGATTTATTTTTTTCTCAAGAAAATATAACTTTCAAACTCATCAAAAATAAACATGATAAAAAACAAAACAACTTCTCAAATCTCACCCAAATTGTGCAAATAATAAGCACACTACAAACTCCCTCACCTCACTCACTAATAGCTCCCCCAAGCCAAGCTTGGGACTAGTAACCAATGGGGCAAAATAGGCTTGTAATGTGGCTAATAAACAACAGAAAGTCAAGGCAACAACATGGGTATGTAGCAAGAAGGGAACAAATGTATCTAAAGTCATCTGGAGGCTACCTAAAAGAACAAATGCCTTCGTCCTCCTCAATGTGCATAATAATGAATCATATAAACATTACTTATAGTTGAAACCAATACTCAAATTCATTGACATACCAGGAACTAACACACATTCCTAACCAAATCAACTAGTCAAGCACTATATTCACAAGCAGTTGGGCAAAATTGACGCATGTTAAGGTTTCAAGGCAATCAAACATCAAATCATGATCAACTAATCCACAATGCTTATCATCATATACCAAGAATCAAAACAATTTTCTCAAGTATGGGGCACAGGGAAACATGATTTACAATTCATTGGAACGTATTTTTGGATTTTTTTTATTTTTTAATTTTTTTTTGTATTTTTCATAAATAAGAAAACAATAAAACTAACCTAGAAAGCAATAAATCTAAACTAAAAAAACACCCCAAAAATAAAAGAAAAGAGAAAAAGAAAGATACCAAATCTAAAATCTCCCCCAAGCCAGAATCAGACAATGTCCTCATTTGCTCGGGAACTAGCCCAGCATAGCTAGTCCTGATCATCCTCATCCATGTGGCCGAACCCTGCACCTCCACTGCCACCTGCACCACTGTAGACACCCATTTGTGTCTCCCCAAAACCAAACCCAGTGATGAGTACCTTTCACGTCGAATCATAATCGAATGAAGCGAAAGTGTGGAAAGTTTAGTGTTGCGGATAGTTTTAATTTATTTTCTCTTCTCTCTGTTTTTGAAAACTTATTTTAAGAAAACAGCCAATCCAGTTTGGTTGGTCCATGATATGGGTCCAATAATAGTGTAGTTGGATGGGGCTTGACAAGAGCTTTCCAACGATATAT